TGCTAGCATCGTTTAAGTATATAGCCTATACATTCTTAAAAAGAAACTCGCCATTAATTTGAGATCTAACTTTTTCATCGGCGGTGCCTTAAAAGTATACCCAGCGTCGGGATTCCAATATTTCTCGGGTCGAAGAAACGAACGACGTAAAAGGGGTGAGAGAACGGAGGAAAAAACGAAACGCGTAGACATAGGATTTTCCGAGAGGAAAACGAAAGTTACGATTGAAGAACGTCAAACCAGGCCAGCGTTACGTCGGTGTTCAGAGTTGGATGGCATCCGTCGCGATGCTCGTGTTGAATGCATGTAAAATTGGACAATAGGCCGGGGCGCGTGGCCATCGTGGGAAAACGCATCTTGATTTCTGTGTTTCTAACGGTACGTGAAATCAGTAGCGAATGGAAATGCACGGTGTGGTCCCCAAGGTGAGAGGAGGCTTCCTTTGTCGGCGGAAATGAAAAGTTTTCCCATTGAATATGTTTTAGGCCAGGCGTCGCTGACGCGCATCCGGGAAAGAAGTGTGGATAGGTACGAACCCGAACAAAGAACGAAATACTCAGGTAGAGGGAGGAAAGGATTTTCATTCTATTCCTTACGTACCGTCGTACTTCCGGGGTTTAAAATAACTTCTTATATGTGAAAATAAATTGAATTGCCGTGGCTTTTGTAGTTTACTTATCAACGTACAGACGTGTTCTTGTTAAGAAAAAAGAAAATCATTCTGAATTTCAAGAGGTAACGTACATTTTCTAAATGGATTCTTTTTAGCGGCATAATAAATTCACTGGTATTCCCTAAAAGAAATTATGGATCTTCTGTATCGTCGTTTTTACCCGTGCCCTCCCCGGCATTACGCAACATTCGTACTTATTACCGTCGGTTCAGCGATTCGGACGGCGCGTGAAAATTTAGTGGCTTCTCGGCGTTGACTTAAATCCTGTCCATCCTCCCGCGCGTTTCGTGCCGCGTCCATCCGACAAAGTCGCCAATTGTTCGACGGTGTATTAATTCTAATAACATGATTTTCCGAGGAACAATGTCCCATTATTATTATTATTCATGAGAACAGTGGAAATCTGATCAGTGATTAATTTATGCATACGTGGCGAGTTTGAAGTTTAGAAATGAAGAACACGGTGCACGCAATTATGAAATATTGTTATTAGGTAATTGGATATAATTAGTTGGCTGATTAGGTTTGTTTAATTAAACGGCATCCTGTGTAATTGTGTACAATCGGGAATAAATCGAACTAGAATATCCGTTTGTTTGCATCGCGTTTGTGTTGAGAGTCAGCCCCCGAAGCGATGCTCACAATTTACGATGGGCCCTGGTATTTATGCGAATCGGGAGAGAGGCGTGGTGTGAAACTCGGCATTGGCAATGCATATGAAAAAGATCGATCGGACAACGCCACCGGCCTGTTTCGGCAACGTATCGAAAAGCAATTTGTATACGGCGCTCCGGCGTAGTACTTTAAAATATTACACCGTTTCGCTCTTGTTTCGACATCCACGTATAGGGCGCACGGATGTGTGTACATTTCTGTTCTGGAAATCGAAGGCTCCGCCGCGCGTACACGCCAAACCGCATCTATCCCTGCCATAAAAAAGATCGTAGTTTATTAATCAAACGGTTGTTACCTCCTCAGAATTTCTGCGATCCAGCCGTTGATGTAAACCGATTACGTTACAGTACGAGGTATCGTTCGTCATGTTCATTGTTATTCGGAACAGAAGCGGAGCTTTTCTTCATCCGTATAAATGTAGAGAGTTCTCGCTTGTCGATATTGCACAGAATGTGTGTGCGTCCGTTCAGGATGATCGTACATGCTCCTAATTTTGGGAATCCCGCCGCAGGTCCTAAAACCTAAAATCCATTACCGATCAGATCTGTTCGAATCCGATGTACACCAGTTTACATGATACAGGCTTGAACGTCCCGAACTCGATTGAATTAAATTTACAAGATCCGTCGGCCAGTACTTGATTCCTTCGCATTTTTATTCGTAGACGTTACGAAACGACGACGAGCGCTGTTTATATTGTTACGCTTTTTTTCTTTTAATACAATTTCAGATGCAAAGACGTGGACTCGTTAGTGGCGTACGTGCACATAGACGGAAAGAAGGAGAAAATAGATTCATTTTGCGGCGGGAAGCCGCTGCTGCCTATCATGAGCAACGGACCGTGGCTCTCCTTGGAATTTAATGGCTTCACGTCGTCCCGCGACTCCCGGGGCTTCAAAGCTGTGTATTCTTTCATAGAAAGTGAGTAAAACGATCTACTTCTTCTATCATTATCATACAAACCCCGGCACTGATTATTAACCCACCCCCTCATTCTCGGACCTCATTTTTCTCGCGACGGATGAAAATATTTGCCACCGAATAATTGTCGGTTCAATCTCAGCGAATAACGAATGTTAATGACGACAATGAATAATAATATAATGAAAATGCCTTAATCCGCGAATTTATAATCTCGATTATGAACGATAAATAAGTAAACGTTTCTGAATAGAATCACACGCGCAAAAACGATTAACCCGGTTTCAATGCTGCACGATTATTTAATAATAAAACTAATTCACGTCGGCATTCCCACTTGCTGTCTACTGAAATTTTAATGTATTAAATCGTGTTTTTTGTGTCCGACCGCTGCGCCGTCGGCATTCGTTTGATGGAATGCATTTTATAAATAATGAAACGCAGACGGTATTAAATTCGATTGAAACCCCGCGCGCGGGCTTCGTTTGAACCGGACGATCATAAGTGAATGTTATTGATCGCCGGTGAGACAATTAAGAAGGGCTTCATCGCGAGGAGTGCTTCGTGTTTTGACGCGTTTAATTTCCTGAGATCTTAATTGAGAATTATAGAGTAGCGAAACTGAGTCAATCGATACGTGGTCGGTTTTCGTTTAAGATGGTTGACAGACGCAGATTACATAACGTTTTCATTGTCTAATAATTTTTTGCAAAACCGACTGATTTTCAATTTAGAAAATGTATCGGTAATTAAAATAATGTATTACCCAGAGGTTTTAATCCTGTTTCATATAAATCTGTCTGCATATCGGGAAACAATAGATTCAACTTTTCAATTATGTAGAAGTAGGATCCGTATGAAATATGTAAAACCCGATCGTAGGGGAATCGATAAAACTACGACGTACAGGTATGGAGCGGACGTGTATATAGCGGGCCGGGAACATAAAATCACTTAACAACTGAACAGAGTTGTACTTCTGTCGGCCATATTTCTAGGAAAGAGATTAGACTACTGCATTCGATTACGATTTCCTAAATGGCACTAAATTTCACATTTTATTTCCCTGCTTTCCTCTCCCCCTTAACATCTACTTACCCGATCTTCCGCTCATTTGGTCGTCCCATCGCTTTCTAAATCTCTGTTTCCCCTTTGCATTTCCATTCTCGTTTTCTTTTTCATAAGGAATGAACAGAATTGTTTATCATTTTATTTCACTCACCTGTTCTAAATTTTTTTTCACCATCATTACTTTATCTCCCGCATCCTTCCCTCTCTCATTCTCAGTACTATACGTTATCTCTCCTCGCTTGTATTTCTTCTTCTTACCCTCGTATAGTTCCCCTTCCGCTCCATCTGGTCGGACCCTCCGACGAGTCTAGTAAATTCAGATATCGTCAGTACCATAAATCGGTTCGATGTGCCCCGGTAAAGTTAGACGATACGCATCATTGAGAATAAGTTATTGGTACGGTTCGGTATTCGGGACGTATCATCGTCGCATGACGTACGGTCTTATATGCAACGCGTCGCGCGGCTGTCCTTTCTGCCGTGTGTGCCTATGCCCCGTCAAAATTTCAATTTCCGTTGAGCATTCTATCGTGATGGCAATGTGTCTCTCTTCGTGCTGCCGTTCATCATCCCATAGCCCGGGCTCAGATTGCGCTCAGCGTACACCCTGGAATGCCCGGGGGCCGACAGAACAAATGGATCGCGAAGTGTGTTTGTCTTTCGCTACCCGGGTCAAGATTTTAGCAAGGTAACGCCCACAGTGGAACTGAATCAGGAATCACGCTACACGAGAATTATTATCATTATCGCTAATATCTTTCGGGACGATCGATTACAATAAACGATTGTTAAACCAAGCGATGTGTGAGCTTCGATACGTTTCGATACATCCGAGCGAGTACTTTGATATCCAATTGGCTGAAAGTCATCGACGGTATCGGTATCGATCCGTTCGCTAACAATAGGCAAGACGGGAGGGTTGAATTTAGTGGGAGATCGGGGAAAGCAGGGCTGGATTAGGGTACGGTTTACAACTTCGACGTATCGCGAATATTCCACGCCGCCGCGGAAGCGTTTTGATACCGAAAGTTTCCTCCCCGCATGCGGGAAAGCATTCAAAGATTGCGGTGCTTAGAGACCGAGCAAGCGGGCGAAGGAGAGCTGCGAACGAGTTCGGACGGAAATTGAGAGCGAGAGGCGCGATACGCTTGCCTCGCGTTTGTTGTAAATCGCTTCTATTCATGTCGAGTATTTTCTACAAGTGATAACACAGAAAACGTACAACGGTGCGGTAAAAAAATAAAGAATGTACAATTTAACACATGCGAGGTGAAAGAGTTGTAAAATTTTTAATATGAAAACGTATTTGAAAATGATAGAAATAATAATATGCACGATTTCGTTTGTGTTTAAATTTCTTATACTTGTTACGTTGCACACTTTTATGCTTCAACATTCGTCTTCTTGCTCGATAGGAAATTTATCCGAACACGCTTTATTTTACGGGAAAGGGACGCGCACGCTGGAAAGTTACACGCTCACATCTGCATGATAGTTAGAAAGTTTGAAGAAAACGGTTCTACTTTTCCAATTGCCGCCAGAGCTGGGATATCGGGCGCAATTGTGAAACACTTACTTGGATATTTAAAGTTTCTCCATTTGCCCCCGAGAAACGTTCGACATTTAATAAAACGAAAGCAAATTTAACATCCGAGATTTAAAGGAACGGTATTAATCGACAAATATTGAGCACTCGTTCTTAGGAAATCGTGCAGATCAGGCAACTTTATTTATTAATTCAAAGAAACTGAATAATTTTATAAAATATTAATTGATAAATTTAAATATGTACAAGAACTTCTAATTTCAATTTCGTTGAATCGATATTGCTCGATAGCCATTCGACGTTCTTTTAAAAATAAAAATGTGGAAAATAAAAGACAAGGTGGATTGAGAGCCGGCAAAATACTGGAAAAGCCAGGACGATGGGGCCAAGACAGAGAAGGATTTATACAATATGTCAAGTAGCTACATGTATTAGATATCAAGTTTGTGTTAATTTCGATAGACAAGTTTGCCGTGTTAGCACTAGTGCCACTGTCTGTCGCTTGTGTACGAAACGGCGCATTGTTCGGCAAGTTCCATGAAATAGACAAGGCTCCTATTATTGCGTAATTGAAACGCGAACAAACGGTTTTCGAGCCCCATTCATAACGGAGCAAAAAGGAGAATCTGCGGCGCCGAAGTTCTTCGTTCCATCTCAAGTCAACTCCGCGGAGAAACGATAGACACGCTAACGATAAAAAGTTTCACTTTAATTGCTATGGTACGATATCTTCTTCAACGAAACTTCAAAGCACTGGATATCGCAGATGAAAAAGTTCTTGTCGCGCGAGTAGAGAACCGTTCTTAATAGGATTTTTAGCTACTTGCTCTGTACAGTCCGTGCGCACTGTTGAATTA